TTCCATACAATATACTCCTTCCATTTTTATAAATAAAAATAATTATCACTTTTAAATTATTTTTATATAAATAAAATTACATTTTTTAATAGAAATTTATTATAAAACATCATAAATTATCCCTCATAATTTTATTATTTACAATCATAAAAAATAATTAATAAAATTTAATTAACACAATTAATGAAAAATATTATAATTCAATTTTTTATTTTTAATATAATTAATATAGTTAATGATTTTTTAAATAATTAATAAAAGGTATTGTAACTTTGGGCTTTGCTCTCCCTTTCTCTGTCTCGTCTGGCTGTGGCTGTGTGTTTTGCTTCCTTTTTTTCTATCATGTAGCCCTCTGATCTTGCCGTCTAATTTCTTCGTCTATGTCTGACTATGTTTATCATGGCGTCTGATTTCTTCTCTTCGCTGCTCGCATGCGTTGAAAAGGGGAGGTCCTTTTAGGACTGTGATGAAATGCTGAGGATCAACGTTTCACCGGTCCTCATGTATTTTTTTTTTAAATTTTTATTATTAACTTTTAATTAGATTAACACACACGCACACACATATTAAGTGAAAAATAAAATTAAGAAGAAAAGTTTAACTCAAAAATTAACTCCCAAGATTTGAATGATTGAGATAATTTGAGAGAAATTTAAAAAGATTTAAACAAGATTTTTTTTAATTTTGTTAAATTATTATTATTATTTTAAAATATAATCCTAAAAAGGACTACATTTCATTTTTATATTTTTTTATTTTTTGATTATTTTATGAAATTAAAAGAAATAAAATCCTAACTAACAAAATATTATCTAAAATAAAATTAAACCCTATTATTTTTTTAAAATATAATACTAAAAAAAGATTAAATTTTATTTTTATATTTTTATATATTTTTTGATTATTTATCATTATTTTTATTAAATTTAAAAAATATCTGAATAAAATATAGCGTTCATAATGGGGCTTATAAGAAAGTGGATTGGAAGGCTGGAATAGGAATCATGGTTCGTGACTCTAATGGGGGTTTCTTGGAGGTTGGCTAGATGAAATGTGTGCAAATCCTAGTTTTCTTGGCGGAAGTATATGTTGTCAAAAGGGCTATTGGGCTTGTCCAATCTTAGCCTGGTATGGAATGCATTTTTGAAATAGATTGCTCTAAACCATTCAACATCTGTGCTCTCAGATCACTACGCTCTTGTGCTTGGCAATCTAGCATGTTGGTTCATGACTTGTTGGATGTGATTGAGTCCCTTAGAACACTATCTTTCTCTCTTGTTTCTAGAAGAGGAAATCAACCTGCAAATCACTTAGCAACATTAGCTTTAAAGGAGGCGCCTTTGGGTTGAGTGTCCCCACCACCACCTTCCCTTGCTCTCTTTCTTTCTTAGGACTTGAGAATGTTACAACCAAGCGAAGGCCATATTGTGCTGGTGGATGAACGTGAAAGCATTGGTTAATTAATTTGCTACTACATGTTCCTTTAGTTTTATTTTGTTGTTTATTTTCTATCAGTGTTTGTTAAGCTGCAACATTTGTTGTTTAATTTCCATGTATTGATGATTTCCGAGGGCTTGACCTCTTTTTGCTGAATGAAATTCCTTGCTGGCAAAAAAAAAAAAAAGCTAGGAAAAATTCCCTAACAGGTACAATACCAAAACCCTAATTTTTACAATGTATATTGAATATTGGTATTGATGATAATATTGTTCACTATTATTAACTAGTCATTTTTCAAATATTCCCTTAAGATGAAACCAACCATTAGTGAATGACTATGTAATAATGGAAGAATGACAGATAGATCTCAAAATGATCAATTAATTCAAATTAGATTTTAAATATCAAACTTTAAAAATTTACAAATTTATCCCTCAATTTTGCAACTTCATTATAATTAATTTGCAACTTATTTTTTTAAATTTTAACATAATTAAAGAATAAATAAATTTATTTTCAATATCAAAATTTAAAACATAAATTACAAATCCATCACAATGAAATTACAAAATTGAAAACTAAACTTATAAATTTTTAAAATTTGGCAACTAAAATCTAATTTAAATTAATTAGTCCCTTTAACCTCTCTGTCATTCTCCCAATAATAACACAAGTCTTTTTGCAGCTACAGCTAAGATCAAAATAACTCCATTTTCCCTCAAGAATTATAGGGTTTGCTTATTCAGATTTACCATACTTCAGAAAATTTTAACTACATTAAGAAACCCTTAAAAGATGTTCTTTTGTATCCTAATGCTATTTTGAATGAAGGTAATCGTAAGGTTGTAAACTAGTAAGATTAAAATTAGACAGGGAACAATTTCGGAGCTTTCTCCCAATGCAGTAATGGAATGGTAGCGTTGTGAAGCCTAGTGGAAGATGGGTTGTTTGCTCAAAGCTTCAAAAGCCTAATCCAACCTTAACGTCTTCAGACAATCCTAGTTTAACATAAAGCATAAACAGCCACCAATACAGATTAAAACTACCTCATGAGTTACCCAAAACCCACCCAAGTCTGCAGCATAAGTAAAAGAAACTGCTAACAATGAGCAATTCTCGATTCTTAGTGTCCAATTCCAACTCAACTGGACACAAATGTAAGACCGCTTCATCTTTAGTTGGCCCAGTCAGGTATGAACACAGGATGCAAACACAGTCGAAATCAATGGGAAAGGAAAAAGGACAGCCATACTACTCATATTTGATAACATATCAGAAAAAGCAAGCACAGTCAACAAGATTTATTCTTCATAACAATAAATTGAAATATGACTTGCTTATTTTACTAGAAAGATCAGGCCTCCGTTCACATTCATCAGTCCGGCACATCTTTTTACACCAGCTACCCCACCATGCCAGACTAAGATGATCTACTCCCTTTGCAGAGCTTGAAAAGCATTATTGCTCATAGCATGAACCCGGACCCATAGGGGCAGTTCTAGCATAAAAGTTTGTGACAGGAGCAGCCGGAACTCCTCGTCTATTTAACAGACATCTGAAGTGTTGCAATCGCGGCAACGCAGTTAAGGTGATATTTCCTGTTTGTGTTGAATCTTTCCGACTCCACAAGCGTTCTGCGAGGTGCAAGTAGAAATTAATCTTGCATTTTTCAAATAAAATAGCCTGCCACCCCAACCCGCCCTTCACTTTACCAAAATACATATAAGACTAGAGCAATAAGTTATATTCATATCTATAAAAGATTTTCTTTTTTTTTTTTGGTGGGGGTTTTTTTTTGGTGTTGGGGGGGGGGGGGGACTTAAACTAGCTAATATCTAATTCATCACAGAGAACAGACAAAAGCATAAGAGATTACAAGACCCCTGTGAACCCTTCATATAACTTGCATATCTTAATCCTCTGAGTGTTTCTTGCCATACACACCTTATTAAAACCAAAGTTATGTTTATATAAAAGGAAAAGACTCTCGACAATGTGCAAGACTAATTGTATTCTTTCAAGGAGGGGTCGTTCGGTTTATGTGTCTTGGAAAGACAACAGTAATTATATGCATTAAAAAAATCCTTTAAAGGACCAAATGTTCAATTGTTTAATAAACGTGACTTTAGATTACCAATTGCAGATAGGAGGACCTGAATATCTAAAATTAAAAAGATATAGTATGATTTACCAGTAGAGCAAGCTATGATTACCTGCAGCCGCTGCAGCTCGAGGCCATATGGTTTGCTGAACGTCTGATGCATCAGCCGTCTCACCCCACATGCAAACTTCTCCTCCAAGTACAAGTTTTTGTTGTGAGTCCTCATGTATTCCTTCAAGTGGCTCAGCAGCATAGACCACATCCCAAGGTACGTCAAGATGGTCAAGATACCAGACACCCTGGTTACTGAAAATGCACCGGAAACCTTTTGCAACAGCCTTTGGACAAACCCCAGGACCCAACCTAAGAAATTACTTGAACGTCTTAATTCTGAAATTGTGATATTTGAGTTTCATACCACAGTAAAACAGGTGGAACAGATGGAAACTCACCAGTTATGCACAACGGTTTGAGGATGAAGCTTTGATGGGAATGTGTTAAAGGTTTCTTCCCTGAGAAATTACAAAAACTTGAATATAAAAATAATATCTCTATATTTTAAGAACTTGGTGGCTAAATTGAAGTAGGGTTTATACTTGATAAAAAATGCAGAAGACATTAGGATAAATGCATGCTACAATAGATATAGAAGATACTAGGAGATAGGGCATTTTAAATCTTCAAAATAGTTGTCGTTATCAAAATTATACATCAAAAGTTTTTCAAGTTCAGAGAAGAATACACCCAGGAGATAGTGCCTCAAAGGACAAAAGCAGGGAACATAAGAGTTTATGATGCATGACTTCCATATAGATAAAGATTATACCAATTCACAGGAGTCCAATTCTTTGACAATGCTATGTCTTGGGCCTTGAGCACAAAATATTCATAGGCACCTTTAGCAGTCATGTTGTGATTCTGAAGCCTGCATTTGAGAGTCAATATATAGAATGAATGTCACACCTGAATATTATGCATGATACACTGACAATCAATAAAAGTAGGCAGCTTAATTTTTACTTTGTAAATTGATGACATTCTATGCTTATGTCACAAATTTGTGTCGCTTAAATAATGTGAAATCTCCTCGATATGAGTTTACTTTCTCAGACTTTAATTAGAAGATTTCTAAAAGTACATAGCTTCAGAAAAAAAAAAAAATCCCCCCCGAAGCAAGTTGCAAATTTAATCTCAAATTACTAATCATTGAATAGTTCATCCACAAGTCATCGTTATTGCAAAGAATAAGCCATTCCAAGACACATCACAATGAAAGTCCACAGCAGCTTATTAGATCCATGAAATAACGCGCTAGTATTAATTCCAAAAATTATGACACTGTATTTATCAGTGTAAATGTCTAGTTATTTTGATGACTATATAGAGCTTGAGATAGCCAAGGTTATAATAATCACTTAACATCACCAAATATAGCAGAGTCATATATTGTAATCTTGGCAGTACTAAGTGATACATAGAACCTTGTACATAATAAAAATGATGTTCCCAAGTACACTTAGGAGAAGACAAGGGATCAGTTTCTATACTCTTAATAAGCTACTGCAAATGGTTATCAAGAAGCCAAGACCCAGGCAACCTGTCATACTATGGCGAAACAGGCATTGAAATAGCCAAACAATCCCCATCAGAGCACTTAGATAAAGCATCAGCTACTGTATTATCACAACCCTTGCAGTAAACAATCTCATAGTCTAATCCCCATAGCTTATGAAGCCACTTACACTACTCTTGGTTCTAATCACGTTGTTCTAGAAGATGTTTCAAAGGCAAATGGTCTGTTTTGATGATGAATTTTCGAGGGGCTAAGATGAGAGTGCCACTGCTTGACAGCAAAAACAAAGGCCAAAAGCTCACGTTTATAAACAGATAATTGTCTCTCAAGTGGAGAAAGTGCCTTACTAGCAAAAGCCAAAGGATGGCCATTTTGAGATAATATAGCTCCCAATCCATGCCCCAGAGCCTCAGTCTCAATCACAAAAGTCTCATTAATATTTGGAAGAGCAAGCACCAAAGGGGAAATCATGGCAGTCTTGAGGGACTCAAAAGCTGATTGAACCCATGGAGACCAAACAAAATGCTGATTCATCTTCAACAACTTAGTTAGAGGGCTGCTAATAGAACCATAACTCTTCACAAAGCATCAGTAATACCGTGTAAGGCTGAGGAAAGCCCTCAATTCTTTAACTGAAGAGGGAACTAGCCAAGAAGCTATTACTTCCAACTTCTTCGAATCTACATGAACCCCATTGACCGTTATTACATGGCCAGGTTAATCCATTTGTATTGCAGCAAAAGTACATCAGGAAGCCTTAGCAAAGAGTTGATATTTCCGCAAGAGTAATAAAGTCTCTCCCAAATGCTCCAAGTGAACTATCCAATGCTTGCTACAGACCAGGATATCATTAAAGAAAACCATAATAAACTTGAAGAAAGGTTTCAAAACCGAATTCATATAGCCCTGAAAAGTGGCGGAGGTGCTCGTGAGACCAAATGGCATGACCAGAAATTCATACAACCCCTCATGAGTGTGAAAGGCTGTTTTAGCAATATCTGTCTCATTCATCCAAATTTGGTGATAACCAACTCTTAAGTCCAATTTAGAGAAAAAAATGTGCCCCAATAAGTTCATCTAAGAACTCTTCTATAATTGGAATAGAAAACTTGTTCTTATCAGTGGTCTCATTCAATCTTCTATAATCGACACAGAACCACATTCCATCTTTTTTCTGGACTAAAACAACAAAGGTTGGAAAAGAACTATTGCTTTACTGAATGATCCCATTATCAAGCATCTGTTCGACCTGCCTTTCAATCTCAAATTTTTGAACAAGCCCATAACGATAAGGTTTACAACTCACAGGGCAATCCACCTTAAGGGGATTAGAATGGTCAAATGAACAAGAAGGTGGAATGGTAGAGACCTCAGCAAACACATCAGTGGAAGGATTTAAGAGACTCAACAACTAAGTTTGTTGATTAGTAGAAAGAGAGGAGTTTGGCAGTGATTAAACCTGTAAATGGTAAGAAACATGAACTAGTTAGAGGTGATCAGCCATAGCTTTATCAAAATCTGAGAGAATCATTTGCATTATAGCCTTCAGTATTCTGTACCCAATGCCTTTTAATTCAACAAATTAACCACTCTAATGAAACTCAAATAGTTTCTTAGCCATGTCCACGGAAAAAAGCCCTAAAGTCTTCAGCCATTGCACCCCAAAATCATATCAAACACCCCAATTTTCATGACTAAAAAATCAGAAGAAAAGAAGGAAAGCCCCACTTCCCATTCTAGAGTCAGATAGCATCTAGAAACTAGGAGTTGTCGATTATCAACAACAATAATTCAAATTCCCCCTCGTTCTTGAATCTTCAATTTGAGTAGCTCAGCCACCCTGAGTCTATGACATTGCGCATGCTACTAGTTTCAACTGATATGTTGACACACTATCGTTTTATGTGGCCAACCAAACGTAAGGTGGATGTCCCTTCTGTGCCCTCAATCGCATTCACCGTACTGATAATAGGTATAGGATCAATCTCCTCCAAGGCATCTTTAAAGACCTCTATGTCATCTTCAACAATTAGGGAAAAACATGCAAATCTTTACATCTTTGGGTACTACTATACTTCTTGCCACACTAATAACAGAGCCTCTTGCAACGTCATTCATCCACCTCAAGAGTTTTTTGGTGGGTCTAAATGAGGCTACACTTGACAAATTGGGCAAAGAGGATGTTCTGAGCTTATCAACAATTAGGCCTACCAACAAGAGAGGCTTTGGAACCAGGTCAGGTTTGTGACCAATAGAGATGAAGGCAGAAATCAACAAGATGCAGATGTAGAAAACATTGAAGAGGCATGAAAAGGCAAAAATCATGGCGACTTGGCGCCTCGCCATCTTCATTGCACTAGCCAAAGATGTGGGTTGCAGGCTGAGAACACTCTGTTGAACATCGCTTCTAAGTCCTCTCATGTAACAGTTCATAGCAACATCTTCAAATAAATCCATTTCAGTGAGCAACCCATCAAATTGCTCTTCATATTCCTCCACAAAATCCTACATCTGAAACTTCTTTATGGGAATCATGTGGTTCTCATCCTTAATGTCCCCAAACTTCACCTCCATCTCACGAAAGTAGTCATCCCAAGAGAGGTTTGATAAGCACCTCTATTTAACAAAGGTACGATGCCGATACAAAGCACGTTTTTCTAAATGGATACTGATAAGATGAATGCAATGCTCTACAGGTGTTTCATCAACATCAAAAAATTGATGACAACAAGTAGCCCATCCTTTGAAATCAATACCATCAAACTTTGGAAACTCTACCTTGCTGTGCTTCGTTGGAAAAAAGTAAGATGGTTGAGGTGTGGAGAGAAGTCCTTGGAAAGACTCAAACTGAGGTGGTGGAGTGGAAACAGAAGGGAGAGGGGCTGTTGCTGAAGGTGTGCTGGCTGAGAGAATGGAGGTGGTGGAACAATGATAGGTGGCGAAGGGGCCGAAGTCGCTAGGCAAAGTGGTGAGGGTGTCACAAAGAGAGTTTTTGAAGGTTCACCAACTTCAAGGGTAGGAGAACGTAATGGCCAATTGACAAGCATGCAAAGCTTAGCACTAGCAGAAATGTCATTAAGCTAGTTAGAGAACTGACTCAGTCAGCTTTATCTCAGAAATTTCCTGTGTCTGTCCAAAACTCATTAAGTGCTTTCAACCAATGCAGGTTGCATCACCAGGTGATGTTTGAGATTACCAACACGTTCAATAGAGGACTGCATCCCTGGTGGAGCCATGGCCAGAGAGACAACTCTGATACCTTAATGTTAGAAAGAAGATAGAGGAGAAAGAGGCTAATTCATTTCACAAACATGGTCAAAAAGGCAGGATATACCATATATCCTAAACCTAGACACGTGCCTCAATGGGTAAGGGTCATAGACTGGAAATAACTACTCTAGTAATCAGCAATATGCCAATATATAAAAGACAGGAAGAGACAATAAAGCCCGTATCAGCATATTAACACATAACAGAATGAAAAATCCTAAAGTATAACAATTAGGATTGTTACCATTCCTTCACATGAGTGGTATTGCTCCAGCAATCTGTCAAATAATGTCATTTTTAATAAATTAGCATCGATAATGACTAGAAATACCTAAAAATACTATCACTATAGACTGTTTTTTATTATGAAGAACAAATGCATGACTAATTCTTGAACGATCACCCTGCTCTCAATTTGGTCCTCCAAAGATAAAATCCCGCAAATTAGTCCCCAGATTTTCCCCCTGATTAAAATGATAACCCCATTGAGTAAATTTCCCCAAATTAGTGAACATGAACCCTCATGACTATTAACTAGTGACATAGATTGCTCAAATGACATTTTCACCCAAAATGCTTTTGTTTAGGAAAATTTTACAAAGCCAAGTGGCTGGAAAAATGAAGTAATTTGAGGGAGACTTTTCCAAGTCATGAGTTAATGACTAAATGGATGCCAGTTTATTAATTAAGAAAACGATGCCTGACAAATGGACCATTTTGATAGGATAAAAAATTGTTCAGGGGCTATTAGGACCCAGTTACAAGGCATGGACTTGAGTTCCACATCAAAAGTATGAGATTACGATACAGGATTTATAGGGACCTTGGGCTTTCAAACCTCACAATCAGCTTTTGAGGTATGGTTCTCCAAAAGCTTCTGATCAAGAACTGCGTTGAGAAGCTTTATTTTTGGAGGACCGAATCGGGAGGAGTCTAAGCTTTCAGGGACTAAATCACAACAATTGAAACCTTGCACATAGGCATGAATCTATAATATCATTTTCGTGGAAGAGGGTAACGGTGCAGGACCATTAACAGTTCAGATTTCAGAACAAGGCAGAAACATAGTGGGATGAACAATTTATCCATTGCCCTTAGATTAAACCTTTCATCACTGGACTAATTTACTCAAAGCCATGCTACTTGTATAGTTATCCTCAAGCCCTTGTTTAACAACTTCAGGTTTCAGGACATGTGGCTATTTGGAAAATTTAAGAAAGCTGCCAAAGCCTCATACTCACCAGTATTAACCTCATCACCACCCAAGTGGAATAGCTCGAAGGGGAAAATCTTTCTCATATCTGTAAAATCCAGAAAAAGAAAATGAAAGAAAAATATGGAGTCATTTAATTAATGATAATGTAAGAATTAAGGAGCTCAAGCTATACCAAGGTTTTGTCAGACAATGAATCAACATAAAATAGAGGTGAACTATAACTGTGGTTAAATGATATCATTGCACTAGAGAGAAAAATCAGCAGGAGATTTGAATAGTCATGACAACGTCAGTAGTACCAAAGACCTTGCAAAATAGAGTAATGACAACATGAAGTGAAGCAAATGTAATAAAACATTGGCTGATGCATGTCCTGCCTATATAATGGGGGGGGGGGGAGAATCAGAAGGGGAAAAAAGATTTAGAGCTGACTTCTCTTAAGATTCATCTCACAAGACTTGGTTAAATAAGAAAATTTAGGGGCTGCGAGAAAGAAAAGGTTAGAAACAGAGACCCATCAGTTATTCAAGTATAAGTATTATAAATTCACTACGAGTGTTAAGGATTTAAAGATATGTCTTTGAAATATCTTATCCTTTGCCCACAAGTTAGGAGTTTATTATTATACAGGAGTTTTGTACTGATCCTTATCATTATCTTTAAAAGTTGTCATTGTCTAAAGAATGATCTACATCCAATTTTAACCAGTTCAGTATAAAATAAGAAAAGCAGGTGCTGCCAGTGTCTATTAAGTTTACAAGACCAAGCCACACCATTATCTCTGCTTTAACCATAAATTTCAACAATGACAATTAAACTACCACCAAGGACAAGGTTTAATAGGAACATAACCTGTCAAAATACCAGAAATGATATCAAATGTAGATTTCTTTGAAACATCAAGCGGCTCTCTACAGGAAGGTGCTGGCCAAAGTTCAGGATATCCAGTACCCCTAGATAAATATAAAACAACATAAAAAAAATTTCTCTGATGCATAAGTTTGTCAATAAAAATATTAAATTTCACAAGCAACCAATCAAAGTAAAAATAAGATTTGTGGCTAGTACTAAAACAAATCAAAAGGAGCACATGAATCAATGTAATGTTTAGGGCAAACAAATAAGGAAATGGGAACAAATTAATGCCACCTTACAATAAATTTATTAGGGGTAAGTAGAAAGAATAACTACTTTAAACATCATCTCATTCTATCATTCTATCAGAAGAGACACTTGTGGAATTATAGGTTCAAAGTCACAGAGGCTGATCAATTCCAGGGTAAAATAACTAATTGACCAATCTCACTTGAAAGAAATATTCAAAATACATCGCAAAAGTAGAAAACATTTTCTTTGTCTCCATGTGTCAGCTTTATCAGGAAAATTATTATCATTTCAAAAATTAAAACGGCAATATATTTTACCATGATTCAGCATGACCAGGGACATCCACTTCTGCCATCACGTTAATGCCTGTAATGCCATGCAAATAACCACAAATATATGAGCACAGATATTTTAACTGTCAAAAACTAAACCTCATAATTTATATTTGCCTAATATCAAGAAAGTGGAAGTGACAAAAAGAATATGAAATTAGGAATTTCTGGAACCTTCAAAAGAAATGGGAAGATGCCTCACCTCTCATTTTAGCAAAGCTTTACATCAACGCACAGGGTAACATGAAAAGACAAAACAACATTAGCCATAGGACTGATTAAGAAAGCTAATCCAAGATAATAAATAGAAAATGACAGTTTAATTACAGGGCAAGAAGATCCACTGATCAATGGGCGAGAAAAATGAAATATTGTTTTGATTATCATAACAACAATAGTAGACTAATAATGGAATATTTTAGTCGAAGAACTGGACAATTTGAAGCAAAGATGACAATGTCAAAGACTTGACCAGAAATTTACTTCGGATATTCTATTATACATCCCATAGCCAGTAAAGTTTTGAGAAGGACATAAAATCTTGGATGACATGGTAGGAAACCTTTAAGTCTAGTAAATAGTAGTAAATGATATGTGTTGAGTCTTACTTGACGATTTCATAAGCATCCTCTACAGTATAACGTTCCCACTTTGTATATGAGCCTTTCCACAATTTTGGGTATGAAGGTATCTCAAGAGGAAACGATTGCTCGTCTATGATGTGCCAATGTAAAACATTCTACTGATTATAATTTTGATATCAGCATTACATGAAACAAAATAACATGGTATGGTAGTTAGGTGATACTTCATCAGTTTCAAATCGTGAAAATCAGCAGGAAATCAAACAAGAAATAAACATAACATCTATCTTACAAGTTTAGCATAAGACATAGATTCAACTATCTGCTTAATTACATCAACTGGTAAATAGTGTCTTGAAGTATCTGCAAAATAAATTAAAAAAAACATTCTTATGTACAATAGCATAAAATCACTCCAAAGAAAATTGATCTTTCCTTCAACAAAATTTTCACTCACCCAGCATAAGCCCACGGTATGCAAACCTCGGTTTATCTTGGATAGACCAAGGTGCCTTGTATATTTGTACTGCTTTGGTTGAATAATCAAAAGAACACAACTGACTGAAGGTCTGGTGCATTATAAAAGAGAAGACAAATGATGGAAATGGCTTGGGCATAAATCAAAAGGAATTACATACTTGTCAACATTTTTGAAAGTAGATTGTGTACTGTGACCAAGATGCACATGTTGAAGAACAAAAGAAACAAAAGTTCAATTTCAAGATAAAATAATGTACATGCAAAAAAGAGCGCTTTAAATAAATTCTTTACATCATAGTTATTAGACAAAAAATTAAAAAATCAGGGATATCATTCACCAGTAACATGAAGAATAATTAAAACAATACAATTAAAAAATTAAGGAAAAAATTGTTAAAAGTTAGAGAAAAACAGCTTGGTCAGAAATGTCTATCATTCTTATAATCAGGGGGAAAAAATGCCACAAAAGCATCACAAGTTTTAGCTTTAAACTGTAACAAGCAGCTAACTGTTTTGGCAATGTTTTTAACCACCCCTCCTTCACTTAGCCACCACCAAAGAGAAGAAAAAAATGAGGAAAGAGAGAGTCTAAATGAGGGACATCAAAATGTGTAGAAAATGACGCCGTATACAGACACCAATATTGTGAGAAGAAATTTTACAGTAATAAGACATACCTCCAATCCACGTAGTGCACCATAAACTGTATTTGCCTACACGAACAAATCACAATACTAGACCATTAAAACAATGTAGAAATGGTTCTGCTAAACCACATCATAATTTTGGTAAAGCAAAAGAATAAAACTGTTCATATCACTTAAAGAAAATGGAAACTTTGTTTCAAGTTCTTTGCATCAAAAAGGGGTGACGGAAGGTATAGACTTTGCAGCTACACCAATTTCCAAAGATTGGTGATTAAGCGCCTCGAAAATTAATAAAAGAAGCATTGGTGAGAAGTAAACAAATCAAAGAAGATAAAGCCACAAAAGCTGGGACTAAGTAACTTTTACACATCTCTTCTGGGTACCTTTATCCTACGCTCTCTTTTGGACAAACATTACCCCTATGTAACTGAAAAAGAGTATATCTATCGTAAGAATTCCACCTATCGAAAGGTTGAACCTTTTGACCTTAGATCTATTTCGAGATTCTCATTTTAAGGAACAAAACCAATAATAAATATCATGGTAGAAAAAATGTTCAAAACACTCAACTTTCTTGAGAGCTCGAGCTCGTATCCGAATGAAAATAAGCAGCAAGAGTATATTCATTCATAAAAATGCGTTGATAACTGAGAGAGCTAATGCAAAACATGAGTGATCCCAAACCGTAATCAAAGCATGTTAAAAAAAAAAAAGTGTACCTCAATCTTCACTTCCCCAGCAACGGCCTGCCCATTGGACTTCGGGACGAGCAAAGTATAGCTTTCATCAACACCAAGTTGAAGCTGCAACAAAAGAAACCAATTTCGAACCGGAAATTACTTCCTTAAATAGAAAAAGAAAAAAGCAATTATCAGAAACCAAAACCAACCTCCTCGCTCGCAGAATGAACAGTAATCCGCAATGTACTAACATCATACACAGATATTTTTTCCTTTAATTTCCTAAGAAAACTGAATCTGTCAATTCGCTTGAATATGATCCCTCTGTATCTATCAAATGCAGCTCTGACAATATCGGAACCACCTCCATTACCATCCACAGTAAGAGATAGTCCAGGATCAACAGAGAGCGTATCATCGCCGAAGGAGAATTGAGTAGGCAAAGGCCAAATGTAAGTGAGGGGCTCCTTGGGGCGTGGTGTTCGTTTGACCCTGGCAGCGAGAGCTTGAGAAGAACAAAGAGCAAGAGAAATGATGAAGAATATGTGAAAAGCTGCTTGGAGCCATCTGGGTGCACAGAGAGGCATGGCCGCGCGATGATGAGACCACATTGCAGACTTGAGCATTACCACAAGAGACCGTGAAAAGGGGGTGAAAGGGGGGGGGTGGACGATGACGACTGATGAGTTGGGGAAGCCCAGCAGGCGTCCAACTACTACGAAGAAGTATGGATATGGAGGAATCTCAGACAATAAATCAAAAGGTCGTGTTTACTTCGTTTGATTTTAGTACAATGCTTTGGAAAATAGTTTATCAGGCAACAATTGTTACCCCCTTCTCTGGACATTTTTTATGGGCTACTGTTGATATAAAATCCATAGCATAAATCTTTTTTTTTTTCCGACGAACTGTATTATTAATTGTATTGTGAGGATATTATATAAGAAAGAAATTCAAATAATTAAAATAAATTTATTTTAATAGTTGAATAGTCTTATAAAGTGGTTATAATTTTTTACTATTTTAAAGATAAAAACTATATTTAATTTAACTATTTTTATTAATCCTTGTAAAGTTAATTAAAAATATCTTAAATTAACATTCAACAATAAAACATTTACTCCCTCCATTTAAAAATATAAGGTATTTTTTAAAGAGTTGTAAGTTGAAAAATAGATAACTCTTTTATTAAGGATAACATTTAATTAAAAATATTTTATATTTTTGAACGGAAGGAGTATGTTCAAAAAAAAATATTTTATTGCTCAAAATAATTAAAAATCACAACAACTATATTCAACTATTTATTTGGGGTTGATTATTAATTATCAATTTCAATGTTTGAGATTATAGAGACAATGTTCTTCAGCAAATGTGTCTTGTGATTATAATATATAGTAGTATCTTTTTTGTTTTAACAAATTTAAGGTGAGTTGGATTTAAAAATTATCAAGATTAAAACATGTCTTCAGGTTGAAAAAGCACTTATAAATCGCCCGATAAAAGATGATTATATCAGTAATAAAATTTGATCTCACAATTTTATAAATTATAGGTCAAATCTTTATTAATTGGATCAGTCTTTATTAATAAATAAGTAGTTGTATCACTGAGTGAATGTGACACATATAATAACAATGTAAACCCCTTAAATATTATTTTAAAGTTCAATTCATGAAGGTATGTTTGAAGAGCATGGTTTAGAAGAATATAATACTTTAAATAGCACTCAAATTTTTTGAGATATTAGTCTTATAATTTGTAGGGATAATTTGAAAAACCAGAACAATGATATAGTTGTATTTTAATAAAATAGTTAATTTGATGATAAATATTATAAACCTTAAGGCCAAGTGATTAGCTGATTGAGTAATGCACCCATCTGCTTTCTAATTTGTCTGATTGGAATATTTTGTTGACTCTAAAGTTGAAGTTCTAGCAATTAAAATAAAGATAATGTTCTTTTTCAATCACTTAATCGATTGGATTAATCTTCGGAGCATTTCGACTTCGAAACATTGAGTTAGTGGCTAAATCCATTTTACAAGTTACTACCAAAAAGAATAAAATTTGACAAAACATTGATTAGGTAACTAAATCCGTTGGACAAAAAAAGCAACATGTAATAAGAAATTAACTAATCAATGGCTTAATGCGTTTTGCCAACTAGGCAATAATTATATATGCAAGGGATAATTCAATTTTATATACTTCGTTTAAAAATATAAAATATTTTTAAAAAGTTAAATGTTAAAAAATGTGAGGTATTTTTAGTCTTTCGATGTGTAATCATTGTCTTTTTTTAAAGTGTTCTTATTGATAATGACTTTATATTTATTGTAGGATATTTAATAAGGATAAATATAAGATAGTATTAATTTAAAAGTAAATAACTACTTTATTAAGAAGTGAGATTTAATTAAAAATATTTTACATTTTTTATCAAAGAAAATAATTATATTCATGAGATCATGAATTTGCTAGACAGTAAGAAAATAAGTTTTAAGTTTAAGTTCATGTTTTAAATAAAATTATTATTGATTGAGCCAAAAATATTACTCCCTGTATTTAATATTATAAAGTATTATTAATCAAATTACATTTTAAATAAACTAGTTAATTATTTTTAAAATTACATTGTATCTTAATTAGAAAGCATTATTAATTATACTTCTAATAAATGATATTTTTGAAAAAAATATTATTAATTTCATATTCAAAACCCATGTTTTATATTTTCAAATGTGATATTTTGGAGAAAAATCTAATAATATTGAATAGTTATCGGGTTGTTTGATTTTATTTTATGTTTTTATGTTTTTAAAATAATTATTTAGAGTTATTTTTTCAGAAAAAAATAAAAATAAAAAAATAAAAAATATGTTTGAATCATGATTCCAAAAATATATTTGAAATAGTGAAATAAAGGTTGAAAGAATTATTTTGTTTATTAATAAGATTGTCCTTGATGAATATATGATATTTTTTTCTCTAATTTTGTAAATAAAAAGTAACAAAACATAAAAAAAAAGAATATGATGATTATTTTAGTCTTTCAGAATAATTTTTAGATTTTTTATTTTTCAGAATAAATGACATAGAATTATTATTTTTTATTTTTTTAAATTGCTGTTTTTCTGAAAAAATGCACTCCCTCCGTTAAAAAAATGTAAGATATTTTTTTAGGAGTTTGATATTAAAAAATGTAAGATATTTTTAATTTTTTAAAGTATAATCATTATCTTTTTTAAAAAATAATCCCATTAATAAATGACTTTATATTTATATTTATTATAATATATTTAATAAAGATAAATATAAAAAAATTAATTTAAAAGTAAGTAATTATTTTATTAAAAGGTGAGATTTAATTAAAAATGTTTTGTATTTTTAAATGGAGGAAAGAATTTTTTATTTTTTTGACGCATGAAAAAAACGCAACAAAACAAACCTATTGTTGTTGTGGTCTTGTTGCAGTCTAATCCCTGTGCAGAACGCAATACATAATATGACCACCCGACGCTGACGTCAATGTGGAGGGGAAGTTCACCTGCTCATCTTAGATGTAATTTTAACGTGTTTCCGTTTCAGTTTACATGCGTGAAAGTACATTTAAAGGCTCTAATTATTTATTAAATTTGGCAAAAAATACATATTGGATGCGGAACGTACTTTTAAGAATTACCTAAATAAATCTTTAGTCTCTTATTATCGCCCATCGGTTAGTTATTTTATTCTGAAAGGGCCACCTCACCTCAACGTGGAGTGGAAGGCTGTTCATAATATCTAATTAATTTAATTACTTTATCAATATTAATATAAAAATATGAACATGAAAAGTAGAAATAACTTGTTTCATCTTTCTACACATTCGAAAGATCTACCTATTTATTTCATATAATTTTTAAAATTGTAAATCTAATGGTTCAAAAAAACAAATCTTTAGGTTGGCCAAAAAAACAACTGTTTAGTGTACCATAAAAAATTTAATAAAAACAGATCTATTAATCAAAAAACATTTTACAAACTAGTCAATAATGTATGGCAACGTTGGCCCAAAAAAAAAAGATAATGTATGACAATCTCCTTTCATTACTTACCAAAGAAGGAAGTTAATCAAGGCAGAGCCAAGCATTGCATAAACTTTGTTGACCCAAATTTCTTCTCTTGAGCCAAAAGACTCGTCTTAAGATGTCTTGTTTCGACGTCCCCTTGAAAATGGTGTTTCTACATCAGTCGATAACATAGCTGGTGTGAAAAGTTAGAGGAGGTTTTTTTTTTTTTTTTCAACATAGCTGGTGTGAAAAGTTAGAGGAAGTTTTATTTAAAAAAAAAAAAAAAAAAACTGATCTTGAAAGGTGCTCTTACTACCTTTGACCACGGATTTTAGAACTGGACAAAAAAGCACAAAATGCACCATGTCAATTATAAATAAAGAACCACTTATAAGGAAACAAAACCAATACACAAATTAACTAGAAGTTGCAACAAATCTAAGTGATGAAGAACATATTTGAATAAACCACATACAAAAAAAAAAAAAGAACATTGACCCCTATTAGTTGACTAGAGCTAGTAGGGATCTGCGAAAAATCAATGTATAAGTTAAAATTTGGGAAATGACATATGTAGAAGTGTTGACAATAGGTAAGAAAATGAAGCTTGAGTTATTTCGGAAGATACTGTTCTTAAAAACTATTTCAACATATTGGTACATTGGACTAGTGGCTCTTTAAGATTAAACAAACTCATTTTGTAAATAAGCAAGGCAACATAACAATAAAGGCTACATGAATTAACCCAGGCAGCACAGCAGCACAGTACAGCATACAAGGAGGAGGAAAGAAGCGGCTCAAAAACTCAAGAGCTAGGTGAAGTATTCCATCCTCAAGCAAGCCTATATATAGGCTGCGACACGAACGTTGGGACTAAATGCCAAATTAAGACTTCATTAAGAACTAGTTAAAAGTATATTATTTTCCATTAAACACTTGTCTGGAGCCATTATGGGACAAAATGCTAATGAAATCTGATTAATCAAATCCATTTAAGAAATCACTTAAAGCCCAACAAACGGTTAAGGTGGAGATTTAAAATTCAAACAGCCAAAAAATAAGGTTTTCTAGTAAGTAATTTTCAATAAATAATTTTTTTTGTGCAAAAAAAATAATCCAATAAAAAAAACCACTGCCTCTTTAACTTGTATGCAGGGAAGAATTGGCAGTTTTCAACTGCAATTGTCCTGAGTTGCCTTGTCTTGTGCATATGAGTCCACTTCTCCTTTAAATCAATTTTACTAGCCCATTTTAGTTCTTAGTATATATGCACTGGGAGCTCTCTTCTTTTAGACAATGTGAGACTTCTCACTTGACATACAACTTCAAATATCATAACAATTCCCCACATATATCAAAAGACCACTATCATTTGAGTCATTCATGTGGAAGATAATCACTTCAAATCTAGTGTCTTATGACTTAAACTAAACTTAGACTAATAAAACTTAGCACACAAAAAATTTGGTGTAAATTTATTATTAAACCAACAGATCTTGAGCGTGTACTAAAGGTGTTATCAATCTAATTATACCATCACAATCTCTACTGTTAACAAGTGTTGTGCACATTATTGGCCATGTGTGCGCTTGGTTTTAACAAATGTTCTAGAGACTTT